AAGATGAACTGGTGCAAAAGTTCAGTAAAAAAGAACAGGCCTTATGAGCGAAGCAACGCTGCCTCTGGCTATGGCCCACTTGATTGGCCAAATATTTCGAGGCATTTTTTGATTGGTCAATTTTTTGAATTTTTTATTCAACGCTCCTTTAAGGTGCGATTTCACCTGACGCTACGATGCTTATTTTCAGCGTCAAATGAAAATCCAGCCTTATTCACGATATAGTATAGGAGTAACTTAGTCAGCTTTTATTCGCTCCATGAAAAGGATAGAGGCGATAGCGAATAGCTTTTTAACGCTGCTTTGCGTGGCGGTCGAGTGGGGATAAAACGCCAGCTTTTACTTGCTGCGTGAAATTGTGCCTTTAGTGTAAATCAGTTAAAATATTTTCAGTTAATAAAAATTTAATTCTTTTAAGGTTATATGAGTTTATCAATGTAATAACAAAGACTATGTAATTAAAAGGATTAAACTATTTATTAATACTGAAAATATGTAAATTAATTTACTATTCAATTGCACTCAGCGCACACCAGTATTGCACTAATTTTTCTATTGGAAAACGTTATAAGTTGAATCGAGATTTACAATTAATCTACATTCAGGCTTCAAAACTTCCTCTCCGAGAAAAATTTTACTCTGTACGCAATAGTATACGTTACGTGTACTATATATTTCGAGTAAAATTTTCCTCACAATCTACAATACAATTAGGGCCCGATTCTGTAACTCGGTCTTGATGTCGTTGCGCGGATATTATATGTAGAGTAAAAAAGCTGCGCAATGACATCAATGACTGTCGTTTAAGGCCGGTATTCGAAGGCTGTGTTCCAAAATTGTTTGTCAGCGCTGGCAGTACTGCCAACACCGTTCCAAAAATCATCGTAGCACGCTGTGGCAGTGCTGCGAGAGGGTAAAGACGTCATTAATGTTGTCGTCATTTCCTACTGCGGCTGCTGCGACTGTCGAGAGGTGCGTTCCGTATCGCACATGATGTGCATGATGCATCCATTGTCCTTGTTTAACATTTGGAGAGCAACAAGGATAAACGATGCATTATGCGCATCATGCGAGAAACGGAACGGACCCGAGGTGAGGCAGCTACAGCACAAGATGGCGGAAAAGATGGAGGAGTTAATTTTAGGCTGCTTTCCTTTTAGGAGACACAGTCGACACACTTGACACAAATCGACACACGTCGCTTTCCATTTACAATTTTGTTCAAACTCAGTCGACACACTTCGCCTCTGG